ACACACACACACAGACACACACACACACACACACAGACAGACAGACACACACACACACACACAAGATCCAGGGACTTTGGTATGTGATATGTGCCAACTACTTTCATGGTAGAAATCCAATCCATGTAGAAGATGCTTCTGCATTTCAATGTTGCACCAACAATGATCATTCTATGAACACTATGAACTCAGGGACACACATTCAGCTCATGAACTGGACAAGGCTGCATCTCTGGGTGGTTAGAGTCAGGACACTCTACACATAAGGAGTGAGGAGGTGACTGGCAGGCAGCCCACAACCCATCTTAACTCTTCCTACCCTATTGTGTGGTGCTTTTCTCCTGGAATGTGAGAAAGGCAAAGATTAAGGGAGATGAATGTGGGTGGCACAGCTGTTATTTTTGTTGCACGTGTGGACGTGGCTGGATTGAGCGATTATGCAGTGCTGAGGTCATGCAGGGTTAGTGATATCAGGAGTTGATGAAGATGTTATAGGGAATAGTGAGAGTGGTAGAGCTTGACCGTTGGTGGAAGGTGAGTAAAGTTGCAGAAATAGACTGAGAGTGAGTGAGGTATTGGAGAGAATGTGGAGGTACTTATGCTTGCAGAGTTGAGAAGATCAATGACCTACACAGCTGGGCATTCATCCAGATGATTGAGGCTGCACTGAACTGGTGGCAATCTTGGATCAGGCTGGGGTGGCCTGCTTTTGTGGCCTCCTTTTGTGGCCTCCATGCTTGGCCCTGGAGAAGAAGGAAATCTTGCCTTTGCACCATCCCATCCACCAGAACCTCCAGTTCCCTGCCCGCAGAGTAGACGCCAATTTCCCTCTATCTGCCATGTCTGGGTGAAAAGTCAAGAACCATACAGGGCCGTTCCAGTCTGACAGTATTTGCCCAGAGGCACAGTGGACTTTTAGAAAAAGCACGGGCACGATGAGTGCCAGAGAATCCATTGAGTGGTGAGTTGTTCTGGCAATGGTGAGTGGTAAGATAGCACCAAATTTGGTCTTGAGAGATGGCATAGGGTCTTCATAGGTCATTGATGTGGTGAGTTTGGAAAGATACAGCAATAGAACTCACTAGGGTATGACCCCTCCAAAAAGCTCAACACATCTCAGACTTAGTTAGGCGGTAAGATTGACCCCTCTACTTCATATTATAAAAATAGTTTGGTAATTGGCACTTCATAAAGTTTAAGGAGGGAAAAAGTCCTGTCTGATCAGCTGTCAAACTCTTTATGAGAAACCAGCATCACCAAATGGATGTTGGAAAACCCCCATCATGGACTCCAAGAATGATTTCATTAAGTTTCACAAACGCTGCTGCTGCAAGAGCTGAAGAAAATAATTATTTTGCACTAAGGTCAGGTTAAGAAAAAACTGAAAGAGAGGAAGCAGTGGGTAATTAAGCATTGATTTCAAACTGGGAACATATATTTAGAGGAAAGCCCTGATGTTTGAGCTAGGTTCTGTTTCTAATTTACATGTAGGATTTGCATCCAGAGGTACAATTCAAGTTGCTAAGATTTATGGATGATCCCAAAATGGAAGGGGACAGCTAAATCTATTAAAGCAGGCAAGAGTTACATAGCTTCATAATCCTGGTTTTTAGTTGAGATCCCTTCATTAGAAACTAAACAGATTTATGAAATGTAGAATTGTTTGCTCTGCCATTTGTTACCAAACCCAATGCTGTAATGGTAGACAATGGTTTGGTAGTTTGTAGGATGCA